ATGATATTTTCCTACCCTAATGGATTTATGATCCTAAAGTTTGCCCTGGGACATGGCACAAATCCCGGTGGCACATGGGACAAATCCCAATTTGCTGTTCTAACATTGAACTTCAGAACGAAGGCAAAGCATTCTCTTGGTGAGAATGTTAAGACTGACGGTGTCACAGGAGTTTTTTCCCAGTCAAGCACCTTATTCCCAATCCACTGAGATGGAAACAYCTCTGAGTGTGGAGCCTTTTGGGATCCCCACTTTCCCCTACAGCTGTGATCCAGCCCTGCTGTGATGCCCATGGGGTAAAACGCTTCGGTCACTTTGGGCACAGCCACCTAAAGCTGAGTGTCACCCCTTTTTGTGTCCCCAGGGCGCTCCTGCAGCGCCCCGGCAGCGCTGCCCGGGGGGAGGACGGGACCCGTGCTGGACCTGCAGCTGGGAGCACGAGTGGACGTGTCCTGCCAGGACGGGTGGGTTTGGGGCATTGCCCACGGGGGGACAGCCCCAGGAGGGGACCAGGCTCGGGGACAGCCCCAGGAGGGGACCAGGCTGGGTGTCACCCCACCCTTCCCTTCAGGTGTCACCCCACCCTTCCCTTCAGGTGTCACCCAGAGGAGCTTTGAGTGCCCATCCTAAAGGCTGCACTGCCAGTTTGTAGCTCTAAACTTCAAGTTATTTAAATTATTTCAGCTTAAGACAGCTGAGATATATTGAATAAAAAGGGTTACATTGGAATTTTTAAAACCTGGTGGAGTTTAAAAATTCCTGTTCTCAGCTGGAAAAATGCAGTGAAGCACAGTTTCCACCATCRGGAGCTGACTCACGGCTGCTGCCTGCTTTCAATCAGCGCCCAAATGCACAGGACTGACAGGGAATTTTCAGCTCTTGCCACTCCAGGATGTGTTGTTCCCTCCCAGCAGGAGCAGCTGGCATCGTCTGGCTCGTTCCTCCCAATTCCAAATAGAACAGCGGGGGTTTTTCTCTCCCTTGGGGTGTAATTGGAGCAAATGRCAGCGTGTCCCACCCTGCTGGGGTTGAGCTAAACTTTGGAAATCCTCATCAGGGCGGGGGGATAACACTGTTCATATAAATTAGATCAGATCATTTCCATCGTGTCCAAACGCTGAGGTTTTTTGCACAGGAAAGGGTAATCCTGTCAGCTGTCAGAATAAATCTGTGAGATTCCAGCAAGCTGGGGCAAAAAGCACTTTATTTAAATGTGGATTGAACCCTGCTGCTCCTCAGTGCCCCTGGTTTGTGCAGAGGATTTATTTGAATCCCAGAATCCCAGAATGGGTTGGAAGGGACATTAAAGCTCATCCAGTGTCACACCTCCCACTGTCCCAAGGTGCTCCAAACCCTTTCCAACCCAGCCCTGGACATTTCCAGGGATGGGGAGCCCACAATGACTCTGAGGAAAGCACATTTTCAGGGATGAGCTGAGCAGGTGCCCCAGCAAGGTGCCAGTTTTGATTTTCTGGCAAAACTTTGGCAAAACTGCTCCACCTGACACCCCCAGGAGGTGCTGGGCAGGAGGTGGCACTGGGGGCACTGGGACCCAGTTCAGTGGGCAGGAGGTGGCACTGGGGGACACTGGGGGACACTGGGACCCAGTTCAGTGGGCAGGGGGTGGCACTGGGGGTACTGGGTGGCACTGGGACCCAGTTCAGGCACAGGAGGTGGCTCTGGGGGGCACAGGGACCAGTTCAGTGGGCAGGAGGTGGCACTGGGTGGCCCTGGGGACAACTGGGACCAGTTCAGGGGCTGGAGGTGGCACTGGGGACAACTGGGACCCAGTTCAATGGGCAGGAGGTGACACTGGGGGCACTGGGACCAGTTGAGTGGGCAGGGGATGGCACTGGGGACAACTGGGACCAGTTCAGGGGCAGGAGGTGACACTGGGGACAACTGGGGACAACTGGGACCCAGTTCAGGCACAGGAGGTGGCACTGGGGGGGGCACTGGGACCAGTTCAGTGGGCAGGGGGTGGCACTGGGGACACTGGGGACAACTGGGACCCAATTGAGTGGGCAGGGGGTGGCACTGGGAGACACTGGGTGGCACTGGGACCCAGTTCAGTGGGCGGGAGGTGGCACTGGGGACAACTGGGACCACTTCAGGGGCAGGAGGTGGCACTGGGGGGCACTGGGACCAGTTCAGTGGGCAGGGGGTGGCACTGGGGGCACTGGGACCAGTTCAGTGTCCCCAGCCGGTGCAGATGCCCTGAGTGCTCAGCAGGGAGCGTGTCCCTTGTCACCTCCGGGGTGACAGCGGCCGGGAAAGGCTCCGGTGGCAGCGAATGAATCAACCGGGAAGGGGGGCAGGGATGGAGCCCCCGATCCAGCAAATCCCTCTGGGAATCCGCACCTCAGCCTGGCTCTGTCTGGCACTCCCAGAGCGGTCTGCCAGCTCCCAATTTTCCCTTCCCCGCCGTGGAAAAAACAGCGAGTCAGAGCAGAAAAATATCTGCTTAAAATAGCTCAGGACAGAGCCAGGAAGGAGCTCTCCCATCAAACAGAACCGTCAGCATCGCTGTTTGCTTTATATCCTGATCCAGCTGGGGCTGGGTGGGAAATATTCTCCRTTTTTGGGTGCTCACAGAGCTTTTTTCTCTCGTGTATTTTAGGTACAGATTAATCGGGAATAATTTMATCTGGTGCCAGCTGAAGGGAAACGATGTTGAGTGGAGCAAACTTCCAACTTGTGAATGTGAGATTCATCTTTTATTGTGGGATTAAAGGTTTTTATTCCGCTCCAGTGTCCACTCCAAACTCCTCTTTGGMTATTGTTTTTGTTTAATTAYTTACTWATTATTATCTACTATTGATTATTTACAAGTGAGAATCCATCATGTGCTAGTTATGATTTATGGTTTACAATTTAMGATTTAGGATTTTATTATCTATGATACAKAATTWGTGATTATTTATGATTTGTGAATTATGCTTTATGATTTAGATTTATGAAGTATAATATTCTGTGGCTGATCTGGGAAATGACGATTCTGCAGTTTTATTTTCACAAAAATCAACATTTTTCTCACGAGTGAAGGTGGGAAGGGTGAGATTTCCAGGAATCCTGAGCCAGGACGTGGCAAACTGTTGTGACCGTGTTTGAGAGGGTGAAAAATGTGAGAAAAGAAACATTTCAGGAACAAAAGTGAGARAACTGGGACAGGCAGCAGTTTAATTACCCATCCAGGGTTGGTTACCCACCTTCACTATCCAAAGACCGAAATATTTGGTATTTTTATTAAAACTGAAGCTTTTAATAAACACTTTGTCCTCCTTTCCTGCAGTAATTACCTGCTCCCCACCTCCTCAAATCAGCCACGGGAGACACGATGGGGAAGGAGTTGAAATTTTYGCCTATAACTCCACGGTTAACTACAGCTGTGACCCCAATTTCCAACTGCTCGGGAACGGGAGCATCCGCTGCACGAGCAGGGACAAAACCAGCGGAGTTTGGAGTGGAAACGCACCCGAATGCCGAGGTGCTGCCATCTGAGCTCGGGATTATTTATTATTTATTATCTATTATTTATTATCTATTATTTATTAATTATCTATTATTTATTATTTATTACTCATTATTTATTACTTATTACTCATTATTTATTTATATTTATTCGTTAATTATTCATTATTTATTATTTATCCTTTAATTATTAATTACTTATTAATTATGTATTAATTATTTGTTATTTACTAATTACTATTTACTATTTACTATTTACTTATTAATTATTTATTAAGTATTTGTTATTTACTAATTACTATTTACTATTTACTATTTATTTTCTATTATTTTAGTGTTTTAATATATATTACATATTATTTATTATTTATTATTATTTATTATTTATTATTTATTATTTACTATTTATTATTTATTATTTATTATTTGTTATTTGTTATTTATTATTTATTATTTATTATTTATTAATTATCATTTAATATTTATTAATTATTATTGATTATTTATTGTCTATTGATTTATTATTCAATATTTGTTATTTACTATTTACTAATTATTATCTACTATTGTTTATTTACAAGTTGTAATCTATCATGTGCTAGTTGTGATTTATGGTTTAGAATTTACGATTTAGGATTTTATTATCTATGATACAGAATTTGTGATTATTTATGACTTGTGATTTATGATCTATTATTTAGATTTATGATCTATGATTTATGATTTATTATTTCGATTTATGATTATTTAGATTTAGATTTATGATTTATGAATTGTCACATAAATATGTGATTTATTGTGTATTATTTATCCTTTATGATTTAGGAATTATGATTTATCATTTATTATTTATCCTTCATTATTTACAATGTATGATTTACGATGAGTTCAATATTTAGGATGAATCACCTTTAAATGTTTGGGTAATGAAGGGCAGAAGTCATCATGAAGTTTTAAAAGGGAAAAAGGCAGTGCTGGAGCAAGGACCGGCACTATCAGTGTGAGGATTGCAGAATACTCCATCAATTCTCCTTTTTTATCCCCCAGAGAAAATCTCAGCTGTCARAYTTGGAGCAAAAGATGTGGAAATGGGAGTTCCTCCCAAAAGTGAGTTGAAATGACTCCACACCGAATCAAACCCCACTTATTTTCCCTTTTTATCCCATTTCTAGCAAAGGCCACCTGATGAAGCTCACCCTGTGAATTTTGTTTTCTCAGGGCCCCAAGGAAATGGAATCCACCCCTCTAGGAAGGCTCTCAGTCTGGAGATGAAGCTCAACTTCCTRAAAAAGGCACTGCAAAACACCATCTCCTCCTCTCAATCTTCCTCTTTCTTCAGGAAACCAGGTCAGTCCTGGAGGGGTGAAAACATCCACGGCACTTCCTGGTTCCTCCCAGCCCTAAAATTCACAGTTTTCATTTTTTTTTTCCCATATTTCTCTGCAGTGAACAGGAAGTGTGCTACCTCAGCATCCAGATTTGTTCTATCCCCAAAATTCTATCCTGGGATCAGCAAAGGATCCATGTGTCCTCCAAAATACAG